TCAAAAGGCAATGTAAAAAGCTGAAGAACCCATACAAGCGATAAAAACGGAGAAAAACCAACGGCAGTTCGAGCCCTCCATGCAAGCCTGTAGAACAAAAAGTCTTCTTGTTTCCTTCGGTTGCATACTTAAGCACTTCCTAACCGGCAACTAGACTACAGTTAATTAAAACAAAAATTCGGAAAAGAAAAGAATGTACTTGGTGCTACAGCAGACTGCATAGACAGTCGCTCTTCTGCTTTGAACCTCATCCTCCTCGCCGAATAATCGAAGTCCGCAATATAAACCTGATCCTTCGCTTCTTGTAACCAGAATTCCTGTTCCGCTACGCATTCCTTATTTGTTTGTAACAGCTCAAGTTTCTGACTTGTTTCTTCCCATAATGCACGGAGCTTCCAAAGTGGCTCACACAAAACTTCATTAAAATTTACCGCAACAGTGACCTGTACATTACAAGTTATCATCAGTTTTTAAACTGTTGCATTATTAGGAAGCCTTTATCTAACACATAAAACTTTTGCACCAACTTTTACAAATGTTATTCTTTACCTTTGCATCACGACCAGTTCCGTCAGCCACAAAACCAATATCTTTAACCAAAACGTCAGCTGCGTGAAATATATTTTTAATATTTTTAACCCATCTACCTTCCACTTCTATAATAATTCCAGCTTCCTCAGCAAACAGAGTTTCCAGCACATCTAAATGCAGAAGATAACCATTTGTCTCGACAACTTTTTGCACTCAAAACTGAAGGAGTACCTGAAGCTGACATGATCTGCAGGTTTACAGTGCGGTTACCCGCAAATGCCATTTCTAAAGCACAAGTTATTAACCCTCCATCACTTACATCGTGACCAGATAAAATGCGACCCTCTGAAGATCTCATGATCATTATAACCAGCGTTTATTAACAGCAGAGAAAAAATAAAGACAATATTAAAAAAATATCCACCTTTTACCAGTGCCTGAACTATGTCAAAAGCCTTAACAAATCTCTCAAAATCATCTACATCACTTGCATTATCCCCGACTTGCTTTAAACATTGGGCTAAAGCAGAACCTCCTAAGCGATTAATGAAACCTCCGTTACCAAAACGAACATATAATAGGCGACTAGGCATCTTATCTAAAAATTTTAATAAGAACAGCAGACCACCATTTTGGCAATGTAAATCAGATCCAGCTTACCTGAGGCGCCTTTTAAATCAGGAGTAACAACTTTCGTCACGTCTGCGCATGGAGCATAGGCACTAATGACAAGAGTGCCAGGTGCCTTCACCACCTCGTTTCCAACCTTTGAAGAGAAATAAATGTTTTACAAAACACGTCCGAGCTAACAATTAAAAAATATAAATACCTGGACAGCCATTGAAAGCGAATCCTTACCGCCATCAATAGCTACTCCTATCTCCCTCATTGCTTTACAGAGAGCATCGCATGCTTCCACTAAACGAGCCCCCTCGCCATCCATTTTTGCAGCCCACATCCAATTCCCACTACATTTAACGTCCTAAATCAGAAAGAATCTTATGAACCATGTGAAATTCTAAGTCTTATAACTAAACGGACAATTGTATGTGAAGCTAGAGTTGTTTAGTTCACAGAATACTCTGTCTAAACATTC